CCTCCCACGGGGGCCGGTACACATGCTATGGTGGACAGAACCTCTCCTCCGCGTGGTCGGCCCCCAGTGACCCCCTGGACATCCTGGTCGCAGGTGAGATGCCACAGGTCAGTCAGGACCCCAGACTCCGCACAGCTCCTGCCAGGGGGGCCCCAGGTGGTGGTGGTGGGACCAGAGGTGTGGGGTCCCCAGGGAGGGAGAGAGACAGAGACAGAGACAGGGAAGGGAGAGACCCGGAGGACACAGACAGACTCAGTTCAGAACAAGGGCTGGACAGCCCCTCACCCGCCCTTCCTCTCTCTAGGACAGCTCCCCTACAGACCCTCCCTCTCAGTGCAGCCAGGACCCACGGTGACCTCAGGACAGAATGTGACCCTGCTGTGTCAGTCATGGAGCTCTGTGGACACTTTCCTTCTTTCCAAGGAGGGGGCAGCCGATCCCCCGCTGCGTCTTAGATCAAAGCACCGAGCTGGGCAGCACCAAGCTGAATTCTCCATGAGTCCTGTGACCTCAGCCCACGGGGGGACCTACAGGTGCTACGGCTCACTCAGCACGTCCCCCTACCTGTTGTCACAGCCCAGTGACCCCCTGGAGCTCCTGGTCTCAGGTGAGAGACCCCTGACCCTGACCATTATGAGCTCGACCAGCTCAAGATGCACGTGTCAGGAAAGCCTGACACAGTAGCAAATGTGGGGGTCACGGGGGCTCCACGGAGGAGGGTCCATCCCAGGGGACACCGGAAATATCCACAGCCTCCCCCGGGGTTCCCCTATACTGCCGTCTCAGCAGAGCTAAGGAGGAGGGGGCTGCAGGAGGGGTGGGGGAGTGAGAATGATCGTGAGTAGACAGAGTCCTCCCACTCACCTCCTGCCCCCTCCATATCAGAATCTGATCCGTGGTGTCAGCCCCACAGGACACTGTCCTAGAGAGAAGCCTCCCCGCCTGCAGGCTCCGCTCTGCTGCCCCCTGTGCTCACCTGGGGCCTCCCTGCCCCTCGGTGCACCCCGGAGACGGAGGAGGGGCCGTGCCCAGCTCACGAGAGTCCCCAGGGTGCTGCACCGTGAGCCCGTGTGCAGCTGGTGTCCACTGAGCACTGTGTGTGGACGCTTGTCCAGTGCCCCTGTGCCTGCTTCTCACACCTTCTAGAGCAGCACCTGCAGACATGATGACAAAGGGAACTCAGGTGACAGGGATGCAGACTCAGAAACAAGTCACCCTTCTCCGGTGCGCACAGGGTTAGATCAGATTCCCACATGCCTCGTGGGGAAGAACTTCTGGGCACTACCGAGTCTTAGCACATTTTCAGCGAGGTTCATTTATTTATTTATTTCCTGTGTAAAATTCAGTGATTCGTCACTTACAGGAACTTCATAGCCTTTGAACTTTTTTCATAAAAGTGGTGTCAATCCACAGCCTCTTCTATAAACATCTTAATTACTTGAATACCAGATATGTCAGTTGTCTGAATAATAGTTCACTATGCCTAAGAGAGCTATGGGTGTGGGCATATCTTTATGTGCTGTGAACTCACTACGCTCTTTTCCTTTCACCTATTTCTCAATACGCTGCTCAAAATTACACACGGAAATTTCACTTTCTCGTTTCTAAAATGCACACCTGTGTTTCTCACTTCAAAGGACAGAAGCAATGTCCTGAGTTTCACCTCAGGGAAACAGCTTGATTTATACCCCAAATTTATTTTAAAGCAAGTTCATTAAAAATCTATTTTTATATCGAAAGTACTGTTAACCTATCCATTTCAACCCATTTTCCTGCTTCATTAGGCTTTTATTAAAAATGTTATCTTTTCCTGAAACATGTACGTCTCCTGAACAACTATGTTTTCTCTTTGATTTTGAACCCTCTGAGGGTAAAGATGTACATCTCCTGAACAACTATGTTTTCTCTTCGAATTTTAGTCATATGAGGCTCTTCACAAAGGCTTCCTGATTTCACACATTTGGGTGTTAACCCAACTGCATGACGTTTACTATTCACTCGTAATTTCTGAACTGTAGAAGCTAATATTACCTTGACCATTTGTATGAATTTCATAATTAGGATTGGTCCATATTTTCATTACCCCAGCAATGGTAAGTAGAAGAATGTCTCAGTGATGGGGCTGGGATGGAGGGGGTGTCCTGTCAGGGGGAGGCGGGTGTCCTGGGTGGACATCCAGGATCTGGGTGATTTGGGTCCACACTGACCTCTGCAACCTCTCTGTCCTCATTCTTAGCCTCAGATCGCAGGGATTACACAGTGGAGAATCTCATCCGCATGGGCGTGGCTGTCTTGATCCTGCTGGTCCTCGGGATTCTGCTACTAGACGCTCAGCACAGCCTGACAAGGACCCCAGATGCAGCCAGGAGCTAAACACAAGGGGGAGCAAACACACCATTCCCTGTGGCCGACCTTTGGAAATCAATCTGATGTGCCCAAGGGGATCCGGAAGAAAGCCCATAGCTCATGCTAGCTGATCTGTGTGCTGAGCACATCCAGGGGAAACGTGGTTTAGATGCCAGGAAATGTCTGGGCTGTTCTCAGTCCAGGACTCGCCCCCCATGAACTGTGGTGCTTTCCCTCCTGCCGTTGTTGGACGTCCTCGACTGCCCCCCTGTCTTTCCCCATCCCTGTGGTGTGAGGGCTCGTCCCACACAGCGGAGGTGCTTTCATACCTTCTTACAGCAGCAGCTCTGGTCCACCTTCGTGGGATACATTTTCCTTTACTTTCGATTTCCTCATTCCCAGAGGTGCACTATGGACCGCCATCTCTTCAGCCCAAACACAAAATCTGTTTTCATAAGTAAATAGATGGGTGAAAATCAGGTCCGCTTTGGAACATATGAATCCAAAACCTTTCCCTAACCCTCTCTGGACTCATAGAGGTCTTCTCTGCTCATGAGTTGACACCTGGTAGAGTCTTCCAGAAATACCATCAGTTTGAGGGAGCTCAGGGATGTTTGAAGTGAAGCCTGGCGGTGAGCTACTACACTGACTCCAAGATATAAATATGGTTTTTTTTAATGTTGTGACTCGTGGCATTTGCCCATTTCTTTGGTGTGAACACTCCCGTCATGGCCAACATCAAGGAGCCGCAAAAATGCACCATGTGCCCAGTCATGGAGTCATGGATACAGCATCTTTCACAAGTGAGTGTGATCCAGATGCAGGTGCACCTCCCTGGTGACCCCGACGTGCACATGTGCTTCCTTCTATTTTAAAGGTCCTGGTATTTTCCACCTCGATGCAATGCCACAGTTCCAGGGAAATTGTGAAGCCCAAATCCTCCTGCATGCACAGGAGAGGCAAGAGAACACAAGGGCAAAATCCAGTGTTGGAGAAAATACTGTGCACTTAGACTGCCAGTCAATTACATTACAAACAATTTGAGGAGAAGATCAGAATCCCATGGTGAAAGGAAGGGACACAGCTCTGGCCCATAACTCCACACCCTAGAGGAAACTGTGTGCATATGCACGGTGACACCTGCAGGAGAATACTGACAAGGCTGTTGCTCTGTGTAGACAAAGCCACACAAATAAAATTACAATTAAGGAATGTTTGTGTTACTTGTATGCAATGGCATATCTTATGGCCAAACAAAGAACAAATTAAAATACCAAGCAATCGTATAAATCACTTTGGAACTAAACTGAAAAATATCAAGGGAAATTTTAAGAACCACGTGTGTAGAGTTATTCCATTATATACATAAGTTCAAAAAAGAAGCATATATTATTTAAGGAGGCGACGTTATGTTTAAGCCTATAAATAAAGGAAGGGAAAGAATCCCACGGCATCTCTCAGGTCATAAACAACACGATGACGTTGAAGGTTTTGTTCAGGATTGAAACCACCATCTGGAGCACTGGTGGTGTTCTCCATGATGCTAGTCTGTCGACTCAGGCTCCACGTGTTGTTCCTGGTAAAGAACACGTTTCTCTCTGTAACCTGCACCTATTCTGCAGACACCTTAGTGAGATGGGGCTGAAGTGGGATGGAACAGCCATAGTCTACACTAGATCCCGAGCATCATCCGAAGTCACCTTGGATCTGACACAGCACCTACTCACATGATGGCACTGAGGTCCCTCAAACAGGATCACTATCTACCTGTGGAGACTCACCTGAGTCTGATCAGACAATGAGCCACGTCCCAGGAAAGAAGCTGGCTCTCTGAACAGCCACTTCAGGGTCATGGGCTGTGTGGTTAGGAATTAAAAACTGGTTTGAATGCGTCAGGACCTGTCATTCCCGGTAAGCCGAACCAAGTTGGAGATCATCGGTGTGGACCTGGGGCCACTACAGACACTGGGCATGGTCACTCTGACTTGGGTTGTCTACTTCGATGATCTGGGGCATGATGGCAGGAACTCTTATTCTGCCATCCTGCTCTCTGTCTATATGTCTGCTGTTTGAATTCTCATATTCTCCTGTTTTTCAGATGATGTACTTTCATCTTCCCTTTTCCTTCATATTTCATAAATTAAACAAATACCGCATGTCTTACTCTTTTGCTTCCATAGTTTTGTCCATGTTCCTTAAAAGGAAAACTGGGGTCTTCTCTTAGCAGCTCCTGGGGGCTTCTCTCGGCAGCTCCTGTCTGAAAATACTAACAGAAAGCATAATTTCCAAATACCCTAAGATCTAAATGGCAGGGCAGATCCACACGCTGTCCGCCACACTGTCCCCAGAGAGTGTGTTCTCACACCCATGATGGACTGTCCTGATCTAATTTAGAAAATCCTCCGTGGATCTCCAATTCTTTCTCATGAGATGGTCCTTGCTGCTGAGTCAGGCATTCAAGGCTCTGCGGAGTGAGCCTGGCTAACCTGTCCAGATTTATTTCCACCTGAAACTTGCCCCTGCTATGATCATCAGTTCATTATTCCCAACATGTGGGCATAAGATAGTAAGTATATGGTGTTCATGCATCAGGGGTGAGCTGATGCCGTGGAACCCTGCTGAAGTGTCTCAGTCTCGTTCAGATGTCTGCTTCGATAGCTTCCAGAAACCATGCCCACTGTCTTTGATTGACATTCTGGGGGTGACTTGGCTCTTAATCGTGGATCTCTAACCACTCCAAAGTCTATTTCTGGAATACTGTCAACGAGATGGAGAAGCAGAAAACAGGATGAGAACACGCATGATGCATCTTGTTGCGAACATGCAGTTGAGGACATGCCCCTCGCAGTTTACTTTACTTATCAGATGATGTCACAAGGTGGACTTCAGAGTGGCGACTTGGGCTCCACCACATGGACGGGCACTGAAAATACTCACTTCCAAAAGTGGCAGTACAGGAAGGGAAAGCACTAAGTCTACACTGGGGAGATGCAGGAAAGCTTGAACAGCCACATGAATATCAGATGAGGTGTATTTCACAGCAAACAATCGTATCACAGACAAAGAGGGACAGTGCCTGATGAAGGGGTTTCCTCTGTAAGAAAACAACAATTCTCAATGTGGAACCACCAAAAAGCACGGCTTCAAAACGTAAAAGACAAAAATGGCTTGAACAGGCATGGGGGTTAGGGGGCTGATACAAAGGGTAGCACATGTGAGTCTTGATCTTGGGGTCCTGAGCTCAAGCCCCATGTTGGGTGAGGAGCCTACTTGAACAAAATGTGTGTGTGTGTGTGTGTGTGTGTGTGTGCGTGTATAATTTCTTGAATGGAGAAGAAATGGGGAACTCCAGAACCAGGGGGAGACTTCAACACTCTTGATTGTACTTTCACTTTACTTGCGAATTGTGGTGCCACCATCCTGAGTGGGAGATGATCTGCAGACTCCTTCCTCTCCTGGTCCACTATCCATATGCATCACTGTGCTCACACATAAGGTCTCAGGAGGACCCCTCTCCTCTGAACCCCATAGCATCTTAACGGTTTGAACGGGAGAGCTATACACAGCATCGACATATGCTCTGAGGGGGCAGAATGAACAAGATGGTGTGTCCTGAGATGTTGGAACCAGAGGTCCTGCTACCCATGGGAAGGGGCAGTTCAGCCAGGGACACTGCTTATGAGAATGAAAAGCTGTCCTGTAGGGCCAGGAAGAGGATCCCACCATCCTCCCCATGGGGGCAGAGGAATACTGCACAACCCCAGCCCACTCCCTCCCACACCGCTTGTTCACTGCTTCTCTGAGGACGATGCTGTTGCGGTCTCCAGGCAGCCTGGCTGGAGAGGAGAGAAGCTTGCCCTCCATCCCTGTCTCTTACACCTCACAGCCAACCAGCCAGCAGAAACCACTCAGCCTCCTTCACGCCTGTCTTTTCCACCCCACAGCGTACCCTGCAGCCCACACCTGGACACAGCTGGCCCGTGCAGCCACATCCACCACCTTCCCGGAGCTCTGTGCTCCAGCGTCACCTGCTTCTCCAGGTCACCCCGCACACACCCATCTCTGCAACTTTCCTTCAGCATCTGCCCTTTCCCTTCCGAGAGTCCACCCCGGGTCCTCGCCATCCCCGGGGTCCACTGCTTGCTCTTCCAGCTGAACCCAGGGCTGTTCCCGGCAAGTCCAGATGTGACGCTCCAACCCCAGCTGCCCTTCTGCCTCCCTCCACCCAGACTGGGGCAGTTTCCTGTGACACACTCACTGTCCCGCACATGCACATGCACACACACTCACACAAGCATGCTGGGCCCGTAGACACTTCCCCAATTTCCCAGATCAGCGCTCTGGAAACTCTTCCTCTCCAGCTCCTGTGAAAGTACAGGCAAAGGTAATGTCTGCATCCCTTCTCTCCTGTGGAAGCGTGTTCATGACTCAGGAGGGGGGGTTTGAACTTCATGTGATCAATCCATATACATCATTTGGAAGACCAGCTGACACTCAAGGTTTGCCTTCAATTATTGTGTTCCTTTTATCTTATTTAAATTATTCAGTCACCATACAGTACATCTTCAGTTTTTGATGGAGTTCTCAAACGCAACACCAAAAAAACCCAAATAATCAAGTCAAAACATGGGCAGAAGACATGAACAGACACTTCTCCAAAGAAGACATACAAATGGCTAACAGATACATGAAAAAATGTTCATCATCATTAGCCATCAGGGAAATTCAAATCAAAACCACATTGAGATACCACCTTACACCAGTTAGAGTGGCAAAAATTGACAAGGGAAGAAACAACAAGTGTTGGCGAGGTTGTGGAGAAAAAGGAACCCTCTTACACTGTTGGTGGGAATGCAAGTTGCTACGGCCACTCAGAAAACAGTGTGGAGGTTACTCAAAAAATCAAAACTAGACCTACCCTAGGAACCAGCAATGGCACTCCTGGGTATTTACCCCAAAGACACAGATGTAGTGAAAAGAAGGAGCACATGCACCCCAATGTTCATAGCAGCAATGTCCGCAATAGCCAAACTGTGGAAAGAGCCGAGATGCCCTTCAACAGAGGAATGGATAAAGAAGATGTGGTTCATATATACAATGGAATATTACTCAGGCATCAGAAAGGATGAATACCCAACATTTACATCAACATGGATGGGACTGGAGGAGATTACGCTAAGTGAAATAAGTCAAGCAGAGAAAGTCAATTATCATATGGATTCACTTATTTGTGGAACATAAGGAATAGCATGGAGGACATTAGGAGAAGGAAGGGAAAAAGAAGGGGGAAATCAGAGGGGGAGATGAGCCATGAGAGACCATAGACTCCTAGAAACAAACTGAGTGTTTTAGAGGGATGGGTTAGCCCAATGATGTGTATTAAGGAGGGCACATATTGTGTTTATTTTAATTTTCACTTACCTAATTTCATTTAAAGTCTCCCTTCCATGTACGATAGTAGCTAGTATGACCTTCATAGAACTTTCTGACTACAACAGTCGTTTGCTTAAATATTCCATAAATACTGGAAGAGGTGGCCATTTCCTCTGCTGTGAAGACACCAAAGCAAAGCTACAAGAAACACGAACAATCAGGGAAATACGACACTGCCAAAGGAAAAGTCACATCCTCATTAGCTGACCATGAAAACAATGGAGACGACAATTCCAAAATAATTTTCTCAAAGAACCTCGGTGAATTCATCTTCCACCAGGGGCCATGAACACAAACGACAAAGGACAGTCTCTTCGATAAATGGTTTTGGGAAAACGAAACGTCCACATGCAGAAGATTGAGATTGGACCCTCACCTCACACCATATCACAAAAATCAACCCACATGGACTGAAGATGGAAACGTAAGACCAGAAACCATAAAACTACTGAAAGAAAACATACGGGAAAGCCTCTTGACATCAATGTGGGCAATGAGTTTTTGGATATGACCCCCAAAACATGGGCAACAAAGGCAAAAATAGACAAGTGGGATTGTCAAACTGAACACCTCCTGCTCGGCCAAGGAATCATCAACAGGGTGAAAAGGCAACTTACAGAACGGGAGAAAATCCTTGCAAACCACCCATCTCATAAGGGATACTTTCAAATCTGTAGGGACCTCATACAACTCAGTGCATTAATACTGATCATACTATGAATAACCCAAATGAAAATGGGCAGAGGACCTGAACAGGCATTTCTCAGAAGAAGACATCCAGAGGGCTGGTATGTGTATGAAATGGTGCTCAGCATCACTCAGCTTCAGGGAAATGCAAATCAAAACCTCAGTGAGACACCAGCTCCCCCCTGTTAGAAGAGCTCTTATCCAAACAACAAGGTGTAACAAGCCTTGGCAACAGTGTGGAGAAAATGGACCCTTTGTGCACGACTGCTGGGCATGTAAATTGGGGCAGCCACTGTGGAAGATCAGAATGGAGTTTCCTCAAACAATGACAAAGAAAGCAACTCTGGGATCCATAGGATCCAGCAATCCCACTCCTGAGGCTAGTCCACAGTAAATGAAATCGGGATCTCAAAAGAGACATCTGCACCCCCGCGTTCATTGCAACATTAAACACAACAGCCAAGATATGAGAACAACCTAAACGTCTGTCTCCAGATGACTGGATAAAGAAAAGAGGGTATTTATCTGAAAGGAGCACTACTCCACCTTGAAAAAGGAAATCCTGTCATTTGCGACAACCTGGGTGAACCCGGGGGACATTACGGGAAGTGCCATACGCAAGACACAGAAGGGCAAGTACAGGGCGATCTCACTGATGTGTGAAATCCCAAATAGCAAACTCCTAGACACCCAGTAGAGTAGTAGTTTCCGGGGCCGGGCAAACGGGGGCATGGGGAGATGTTGCTCAAGGGGTATCAAGTCTCAGTCCTGCAGACGAGTAAGTTCTGGAGATCTACTGCACAGCAATGTGACTGGAGCTACTGGAGCCTATTGTATGCTGCAAATTTGCTTAGAGGGTAGGTCTTCAGTGTCCCTACCACACGCAAACATGCACACACACATACATACACAGGTACACAAATGCTCCCTGCATGAGGTCCTGGACACATTAATTAGCTTGAATGTGGTGATCACTCCACAACCATACATATATCAAAACATCAAGTTATGTATCTGAAAGATATCCCATTTCTATTTGTAATCTATACCTCAATAAGGTGGAAACAATACGGTTTCATTTGATTACACCAAGCACTTTGGAAGTCATGTCATTTCTCATTTGAGATCATCGCACACCTATTTAATGTGAGTGTTTTCATTTTTCTGAACAGGTGCTCATTACCGTCTCCCTTGAGGTAGGACAAGATTCTAGTCACAGGTCACCTGGACTGTGACTGTTCCTATAAATGTGTGTATATGTGCTGTGTCTGTCTCTGATATTTTCCAACACTTCCATGTTTGCCATTTGTCCTTCATGCTGCACCTCACCTTCTCCATCCTGGGTTGCTGTTCACACCTGGGTTCCTTTTCATTTCTTTCTTTAAGATTTTATTTATTTATATGAGAGAGAAAGAGAGTGGGGCAGGAGCTGAGAGAGAGGGACAGACTCTGGGCGAGGTACAGAGCTTGATGTCAGGCTTGACCCAGAGCTAGATCCCACCACCCTGACATCATGACCTGAGCCGAAATTGAAATCGAGAGTCAGAACCTTAGGGACAGAGACACACAGGCGCCCCCTGGGTTCCTGTTCTGAGCTGTAACACTTGGCATCTGCTCGCTGAGAGTGAAAATAGTCTGAAAACGTGCAGTTCTGCAAATGACTTCTCTCCCATTCTCTCTCCACAGCAAGTTGCAGGGAAACCCTTTCTCATTTCCTTGTGTGAGTGTATGACTCCAGTCCTGGGAGACGGAGCTACATCTGGTGGTTAAGGGATCCAACCCCTAAGCCCTTGTCTGATGGGAACTGAGGCTCAGAGCAAGGACATTACCTGCCAAGGTCATGCTGGCAGAGGATGAGCCAGGAATAGTTCAATGAAGATCCACTTTCCTTTAAAATCAGAGCTCTAGCCCAAATAAATATCCCCTGATGTGTGCACACAGGAACCCCCAGAGCAGGGAGGACAGCTGTGTCCCAGGAACAAGGGGCACCGAGGAGCCAGGAGGGACGCGCAGCGATATTCCCAAGAAGGGGGGAGGTGGACAATGCCAGAGCAAAACACAGAAGTTCATGGAGGTTGTGATAGAAAGAGAACCTACACTGCAGGGGCCAGGAGAAGCGTTGTGTTTCCTTCCCCATTTGCCTGTATTTCTCCTCGGGGCTCATTGCCACCGTGACCTCGACCTGAGCCAAGCAGAAATGGCACACGTGTGTCTCTGCTGAGATGAGCTCCCAGCACAGCAGGAACCCACGTCCCCTGCAGCATCTCTGGGATCTGGGGCCCCGTCCACGGTGAGGACCCCAAGGATGTGCTGAGGATGAAGGAGAACCATGGGGGAGGCTCTGGGAGGGAAGGACATGCCCTGGTCTCCTCACCTGGATGGGGCATCGCAGGAAGCCTCGGGGTCCACTTGCTGCACCATCATGGACACCAGAGCCAGGCTAGGCCCTGAGGAGGGGCTGTTCCCCTTCCTGTGGGGCTGCTGACGTGACAACCACGTGACAAGGAGGATCAGCCTCTGCGTGACCACACCCTGTGTGTCTGCCCGTCCTGTGGGCACCGAGGTCCCCCCCTAGGCACTGCTAGAGCCAGAGACAGGAGACGCCATGACCCCCACCCTCACGGCCCTGCTCTGTCTCGGTGAGATCTGAGGGGGGGAGGGGATGCCCTATTCTGGGAGGGACCCGCCCCACAGCCAGGCCCTGGGCTGTCAGAGGCCCCAGACTCAGAGGCTCACGGGAGGAGAGGTTCTGCTCAGGATTCGGGGCAAACCTCTCACAGGAACTCTCTTCCAGGGCTGTGTGTGGGCCCCAGGACCCGAGTGCAGGCAGGTGAGTGTGTCCCCAGGGGTCCCAGGCCCACCTCCTCACTGGGGACAGGGGTCACCCACCAGGCAGAGGGGATGGAGAGCAGCAGTTCTGGGCTGACACGGGGGGAAGTCTGGGGGTTTGGGGCAGAGCTGGGACCTGCAGGTGTGGAAGGTCTTGTGTCCCAGCCTCCGTTTCCTTCCAGGGACCCTCCCCAAACCCACCATCTGGGCTGAACCAGGCTCTGTGATCCCCCGGTGGACCCCTGTGACCATCTGGTGTCGGGGGAGCCTGGAGACCCAGGAGTACCGCCTGCATAAAGAGGGAAACTCAGGGACCTGGGACGAACTGAAGCCACTGGAGCCCGGGGACAAGGCCAAGTTCTCCATCAGATACATGACAGATGTATATGCAGGACGATATCTCTGTTACTGTCTCAGTCCCACTGGC